AAGCCATTCACCACGCGGGACTTCTCCATCCGGTCGCTGGCTGACCGACTAGGGGACCTGAGCTATCTCATCTACGTATTTCCCGACCGGCCCAAGGACGAGGTCTTCTCTAAGTACTACACTCCTGTGCTCGGTGCGTCCTGCCCTGATACTCCTGGGCCCTTCCGCAGCCTGTGGGCAAAGCTCTTGGGGCAAGGCAGCGGGGACTCCCCATGAAGAGCCCCGGGGCCATGTCCCCCATGGGCTTGGTTGGTGGCTTGGTGTGGAGCCCATAGAGGGGATTTCAGGGCTCACAACCGAGAGGGAAAACAAAGCCTCTGACCCAGCTTTCTTCTCTGCAAAGTGGAAAGCTGGGTGGATTCTCACTTCGGCACCCTTGGGGGACGAAGAGGCAGAGCTGGCCAGGATAATGATACCCACAGACAATGCACTACTCCCATCTTAATCAGCTGCTCTCATGGCTCCCACCCTCAAACCTGCCCCCAACTTGAATATGGGAAGCAAAATGGACAGGTTTTTCCTCTTCAACTTGTTCCCAGTCCACTGTTGGGTTTGCTGCTTGGCATTGGTTCTGCTTCCTTGGCAGGGGTGGGGTGATGAGAGAGCGAGCAAAGGGCCAGAAAAGAAAGGAGGAGGAAGGAGGAGATTGGAGTGAGGGGTCTGGGTGGCCCCTTGGGCGGGGTCGACGGGCAACGGGTTTATAGGAGTCTGGGGAAATCTCATCACCGCTGAGGCCTCACAGTGATGTGGGTAAGAGGCAGACTGCATGCTGTGGGCTTCCACTACCTGGGAGCTCCTGGAGGCTGGTTCTCATCATGCTCCCCCCTCGGCAGCTAAAGCGGTGGATGGATACGTGAAGCCACAGATCAAGCAAGTGGTCCCTGAGTAAGTACCCAGGGTCTGGCTCTGGTCTCCTGCTGCCTCCTTTCTCTCTCCCCCAGCCCCCTCACCCCTCAGCCCTGCTCCGCCCACTCACCAGCCCTGTGTGGCCCAGCCCTTCCTTCCCCCATAAAACCTGGCTTAGCCCTGGAGAGGGAACTGGGCTTAGCCTCAGTGGGACCAGGACCCAGGTCCCCACTCCCGCAGCTGGAGTCCCAGGCCCAGTGGGCACTTTGCCCTTCCACGCCCCCCAAAAAGGTGTAAAAAGGCCCCCCGCCCAAACCCTCCCCAGGTCAGCTGTTGCCCGGAGGCCGCTGAGGCTCTGCCGTGTTTCTCCTGCAGGTTTGTGAATGCGTCTGCAGACTCTGCCGGGGCCAGCGCCACCTACATGGACCAGGCCCCCTCCCCAGCCGTGTGCCCCCCGGCTCATTATAACATGTACCCCCAGAAGTAGGTTGTGTTCTGATGGGGCTCTGCGGGGAGGAACTGGGCACCTGGCCTCAGGCCGGGATCCCAGAGGGCTGGTGGGCAAAGGGCCCCAGAGCTCCTGTGGGTTCGAGACCACCCAGGCAGGGCTCCGGCCCATGCGCAGGAGCAGAGGGGGAGATCAGCCAGTAAAAACGCAGAGCATAAGCTACATGTGGCAGGGTCCTTGCTCTGGTGCTGACTAGCTGTGTGACCTTGGGGAAATGATTGAGCCTCCCAGATGCTCAGTTTCCTCCTCTGTAAAAGGGAGGCAAGAACACCTACCACATGGGATGGGAGGGGTGGGGGGGCAGGACTGAGGTTACACATTTAGCTCTGGGAGGCTGTTGTAAAGGTAGCTACGGAAGGGGCAATTATTGTCAGGAGTTGGATGGGAACGGGGTATCACTTGCTCCTTTCTGGAGGTCCCAGAGAATTCATTCTCTGCTGAGCTGTGGGTGGCCCCAGCTGGGTGTCTGGGTGCTTGGGAGGCACAGGCTGCACTGGTATGACTGTAGGCCTGAGAGTCACAAAGACTGGAATTCCAGTCCTGAATTCATTTGCCAGCCAGGTGGCCCAGAGCGAGTTTCCAGACATGGCCGAGTCTCAGTTTCCCCCTCTGTGGAGTTTGAGCAAATACGGTCCTTAACGGAGGCTAAGGACTGGGGTCACATGGTTTAAAGGCCCCACCCCTTGCAGGTGCTCGGCAAATGGAGCCCATGATTGAGTGGTCTAGTGTCTCAGTGGGCAGAATTCACTGGCCCAACCACCTCGTTTTGCAGAGGAGGACAGGAACAGGGGAGAGGGACTCTGATCCCCCTCAGTGAGGCAGGGAGAGTTGAGACTAGAGCTTGAGTATCTATCTGCCAATGAGCCATGACACGGTTTCAGCTTGAGGTTGGGGGTGGGGGTGGGGGGCGGAGGGGCATCCCACCAGAGCCAGTCCTGTTCCCATGAGACTGTGGTCTGAATGGGGAGGGGGCCAGAGGCATTCCAGCTCCCTCCGACCTCCCTCTCCCCCTCTCTCCCAGCCCTGACGCCGTCCTCGACCAGGATGGAGAATTTGACTTGGATGAGACCATGGACGTGGCTCGGCATGTGGAGGAACTCCTGCGCCGCCGGATGGACGGTCTGGACCCCCGCCTCTCCCCGCCCGCTGGTCTTTTCACCTCAGCCCGAGGCTCGCTCTCATGAACATTCGAATCCCACGCGTTTGGAAACAACACTGTGTGAAGGGGTCGTGTTAATGGGGCTTTTAGTGTCTCTGTGCATACTGATGCCTCCGCCCGTGCACGTGTGTGCGCGCGCACGCACGAGGTGTGCCTGCCTCGCCTTCGCCCTCCTGGGCGGCGGTGGTAGGAACCACCAGCTTGCTGTTCAGATCGAGGTCCCCGCCAGCCCGCTGGGCCTGTGACTGTTATGGGAGGGGCTCTGCTTTTGCTGCTGTCGCAGGTACTCGAGGCGATGCAGGTCCCCTGTTCCTGCGGGGGGGGCCTTTCCTGCTGGGTAATGCCTCCGAGCTTAGGTCATGCTCCGGAGTTAGCAGCTTTGGCTGCCAAACGTGTGTGCACGCGTTTAGGGTGTGCTGTCCAGTGTCATGCACGTGTGTTGATCTGTTGGTTCTTTCAGTCTGGAGGGAGGCTGGGCTTCAGTTTTGAGTAATATTTTGTATTTTATCTAATGACATATGGACTGGAGACTGTGCCTCAAGAGCTTATCTAGAGCATGACCCTAACGCAGCAGAAACAGGTCACTGGAGTCGAATCTGTCAGAGCTGCTCCGAAGTCAGAGCTGCTTGGCCTCCGGGCCTCCCAACCTCCAGCCAGGGGACCTGTGCTTCGTGTCTGTGGTGCTGTTGCCCAGTCCTGCTATCTTTTTCCGGGATCGCCTCCCCTCCATCAGGCCCCAGCTTACTTTCCCTGAGGTTCTGCAACCTTGCTCCCAGGAGAGGTGGGAGAGGGGCAGGAGCTGGTCTGAGACTCGGTGGGGTGAACAGAGGGCCAGGGACTTGCGGGGCTGACCCCCCTCTCCTCCTGGGGAAAAAACCTGCAGTGAGAGACTGCAGCAGAGCCGCTTGCTACGTGCCTGTGGAATCCTGAGTGAGGGGTGAAAGCTGATCTCGTTCCCCTCTGCTGGGTGGACCTGGACCAGGCCTCATCACAGCTGCAGAACACTGAGGTCTGAGATGGCCTTGCTCCCAGCCTCGAGTGCTTGTCCCTCTGGGGCACTGTGACCTACAGCTGGGGCAGCTGGTGGCAGAGGTTCGGAGTCCAAGGTTTAAACATCCCAAGGGAAGGTGGGGACCAGAAGAGGGATCCTTGTGTACTTTGTACATAGGCCACATATTTGTGTAAACAGTGTTTTCAAATAAAGTATTTTTTTCATAAATTTGCTGGCATGGCTCCTGGGTGGGCAGACCTGGGTAATGGGGACCCCCAGCGGTGGGCTTGTCTTGTTTCCCTCCCGTGTGGCTGATGCTGTAATGTTTCCAAAGCTACCACTCTGCTCCCTCTTCCGTGGATTAGGGGTGCCCACTAGCCCTGGAACGCAGTCTGTGCTCCTCAGAAGACAAAATGACTAGCGCTGGAGGCTTTGGGATGGGGGGGTGGCAGGAATTCTGGGGCAGGGGCCAGGAGCGTTAAGATCCGGAGTCTGGGCCTCTCCTAATCAGCTACTGATTAGGCAATCTTGAAGCCCTTGGGGGTGGGGGGCACTGTGAGGGGGTGCAGCAGAGAACCTCACCCGCAGTCCCTCCTTGCCCCGCCTCTCCTTGGACACCAGCAGGTGGCACCATCCCGCTGCCACCAGCCTGTTGAAAGGGACAGCCAGCCTGGTGACCTGGCCCTGTAGGGAAGCGGGGTGAGGACAACGGTCTCCCCATTTGGACTCTCTGGTGCCGACCCACTGCCAGTCCAGGGGCTGTCACTGGGGCCCTGGGTGTTTGCAGGGGTACGGGTTGTGAAGCCATGATGTTTCCTCAGAGCTCAAAGAAAGGGAAGAGGGGTTTGCAGCCCGCAGGCAGGCAGCGCAGGGGCCTGCACAGGGCTGGTGGGGGTGGAGTGGCAGAGAGAGCAGACGCTAATCTCCCCTTCCATCTCTGCAGGGGCTGGTGGCGCGGTCTCCATGGTGCTCGGCACCCGGGGAGGGGGTGGGGAGCCAGCCGAGTGGGTGCGTTGCTGTCTGTGAATTATCACCACTGGTCGGGCAGCCAGTGAAGTGTTTCCATTCATCCCCATGGAGTGAACTGAAGGGAAAGTGATAATGGAGCAACTGTGGGAGGGGAGGCCCTGGGGCAGGGTGGGACTATCTTCACCCCAAGCCCCCTTAGGTAGCGCTTATCTGAACCAAGACAGGTTGGTGCAGCTTGTTAAGGCCTGAGGAGTGGGGGAAGGAAGAGGGAGAAAGGAGGCAGGGTTCCACGGAGACCTTTACGCAGGAGTATGACCTCCCTAGAGGCCGACGGCTAACATGGTGGGGAGGGGTTGGGTGCCCGGGGCCCCAGAGGTGGGCTGCGGAAACCAGCCTGGGAGCAGGGGCCCTCACCTCACCTCCTGTCAGCATCCAGGTTCAGCCTGTGGGTAAGGCCCCCTCAGAACTGAAGTCGGGAGGGGAAGGGGGGACTTCCAGCAGCCAGATACAGAGCTGCCACGCCCTCAGACGGTTCCTATATAACTTTTATTTCTGGAAGTTAAAGTAGATACAGCAATATACAAAAATGAAACAAAAAACCAAAACCCCACAATAATATAAATTTTTACACTATGAAGTATACAGTGGAATCTGATGCGGTGACCAGGATAGCAGCCCACAAGCCACTGAGCAGGTAGTTTGAGCCATCTATAGGGACTGGGCTGGGGATGGGCAGGGGGAGACAGCAGAGAGAAAGCAGGCAGGTCCTGGAGGGTTCGATTCTTGAAGGGAGGGGCCAAGCCTGGGCTCCTCTCAGAACTTTTGCTACAATCAGAGTTAAAACCAGATACACATGCTACCTCAAAGCCACGAACTTTACAATATCGGCTCCAGAGAAGCCTGGATCCTTGCCCCAGGTCCCTCTGATCTAAATCATCTCTCAGTTTCTGAGTTAAGCTTATTATGAAGTGAAGAGTGTTGCTGGAAAAGGGAGAGCTCTGTGCTACCTACCAACGTGTCTAGGCCAAAGGACAGGGATGGCCAAGCACAACCCCTGTCTGTCTTGGAGAGAAGGTCCCCATCCCCTTATTTCTGAACCTGGTGAGTATGGGTAAAACAAACAGCACTCCCACCAACTGGGATAAGGTGGTCCTGGACTGCCTGATCTAGTTGGGCCTCTGGGAGAGAGGCGGCCCAAATACTGGAGAGCACGAAGTGTTCTGAAACGTACAGTAAATGGGGAGTGCTTCTGCTTCATCTGTGAGGCCCCAATGGGGAGAAGACAGTCACCAGCTTCATCTGCAAGGCCCCAATGGGGAGAAGACTGTCACCAGCACTGGGGGCTGAGGTGGCGGCGGGGGGAGGCCAGGGTGTACACTCCCTCACACGAGGGATAGACCTCAAGTTTATCAGTAAGCCTTTGCCCCTGGCTTAACCAAGTGAAGAAGGGATTAGAGGTGCCGCCAGAAAACATCAAGAAACCGGGATAAGAACCATATTCCCTGAGCTCAACTAGACCCTTGGCTGGGGCCCCACAGTCTGTTGTGTTCCACCTGTTAACTCTCGCCTTCTTATTCCGGGATACCCAAAGCAAACAGAACAGGGGACCTTTAGACACTGGAAGGAGCCCTACACAAGGGAAGTAAGGTGGACAGGGAGGAAGGAAGGATCACCCCATCCCTTATAAGGCACCCACAGAACAGCCCAGGCTATGGAACAGGAGCAGAAGTCCAGGGAGATGGAGGTGGGTGGGCTGGGGCGTCGGGAAATGACAGGTGGTAAGCACTCCTCTGCCCAGCCTTACCTACTAATAGGCCAACACATTAAAGGGGAAAATAAAAACTTTGTTTATTAAAAAATGTCTAGGATGTTTAGGTTGTCCTTCAACCTTCCTATTTCATAACCAAAGGCCAAGCCACAGCTTCAGATGTCTTTTAAGGACTGGATCTGAAGCCCATTTCAGGATTTCTATAAATTATCAGCCTGAAGAAAGCTGAATGCCTAAAGCACCAAGAAGGCTATTGACTGAGTTGTCTTAAATACAGAAAAGGCTATGCCAATACAGTGTTTTTTGCCCTTTAATTTTTTTTTTTTAATTTAAAAAGAAACCTAGGGGCTGTGAAAGTCCTATCTTCTATTTGGTTGTTAGCAAGGTTAAAAGTGCAATGCCAGGAGTAACGTAGCTAGAGGCAGCCTGTGGCGTGAGCTTACAGAGGGATCTGCGGGCACCAGGAGGCACTTGTCCAAGGACAACATGAGCTGCTGAGAGAGGAGGGCCGGGCAGCAAGAAAAGACCAGAACATCTCCACTCTCTCTCCCTCTTGCCACCCCTTCCACATCCCCGCCGGTCACAGTCTCAGAGAACACATTCTTATTTGCATTTAGGTAAAAGCGTATCACCCACGTTCACTCATTTCTCTATTTTTAAAAGTGCCCAGATTGCTCAAAGATAGCAGAAGTAGGAGATTAAAATCTGGAAGCACAAAGTTAGAGGAGTCTCAGACGATCTGGGGCTGGCTGTGTAAGGGTGGTGAAACACAGGTAGGTGCCTCCGTCCTTGCTCTCTGCAGCCTCAGCCCGCAGTGCCTCACATCGGGGAGGTAGCGCACTCCGAGGTCAACTCCATGTCGAACGTGAGGGACTCTGGGGGGACAGAGCGGGAGAGCTCGTTCAGTTGCCCAAGCTTGTTCAGTTCTTTCCCCAGCCCGACAGCCCGCAGGGCACGCTCCCGTAGCCCTTGGGGGGGACAGAGGCTCTGCCACCACTGCCATCCAGTGTCCTTGCCCCGTATGGCCAAGACAGGGTTGGATGCTCCAGATCTACTTTCCTCCCTAGAGGGTCTGGTCTTGTGGAAGGGCTCAGCCCTCTTCCTCTCTTAACTCGTTCCCAACCATCCATGTGGGAAGATGGAAGGCTGTCCCCCTGAATGTGGCAGCCTGGAGTCCCGGGGACGGGGAGGGGGGAACTCAGCACCAAAATGTGGCCCTTCCCACTCGAGATGGGCTGCGGCCGCACAACACCTGGCAGGGCTCAGAGACTTAGCACAAAAATAAAAAAAAACCCTCATTAGCTTTCTCTTGTGTATTAAGATGCTCGTACTGGGATTTATTGGGTTACAGAAAAGATACGATGAACGTTAACTTTGCTTGTTTCTTACTGCTGTTTTTCACGTGGCTACAAGAAAATTCGCGCTGACAGGCGTGGTGCACATTTGGTTTCTAAGGTAGAACATGGCTCTAGAACTTTCTACCAATCCCAGGGAGCCAGCTCTCAGCTTGGTGCATGGTACATCATGGAAGCTGACTTCCCTCCTAAGGCCAGGCTCTGTCACCAAACACTCACCGAACTGCCCTCCTGCTGAGGGCTCAGCACCTTCACCATTATTTCCAAACTGCATCAATGAATCTAAAGTGCGGGGGGACATCGGCAGGTCAATGGTATTGCTGCACGTCGTTCTGTAGGAAATGGGGAGCAGCAGGAGGGGAAAGGGCCGGGTTGACAAGACACAATGGAGGAAAAAAAAAAAAAGAACAAAACACACACACACAAGCCATCAAACTCTGGTCTCCAACAGAAAAATAAAAGCTTCAAGCTTTTTAAACACACAAGGTCACTCTGAGTACTCCACGGAGCCCAGGGCGTTCTGCCCCTTCACCGGGTGGCTGTCACCCAGTGTCCTACTCCCGGGAGAACTGAGGACACCAGAAATAAAGGTCAAATTGAGAAGGGAAGCCACTTACGGTGTCACACAGATAAACTTGGTCTTCAGGTATGGAGCAGCACCTGGGAAGAAGAAAACTGGGGTTTACTAACTGGGACCCCACTGCGGGCAGGGGGCAGGAGGAAGCCGGCTGCCTCGTCGGTGCTGCAGAGCATCTCCCTCCATCCTGGAGCAGAGACTGTTTGGAGGCTCCATCTCCCCCCAGAGCTGTCCTCTGGCCACTGTGTCCTACTGGGTGTGTGAGGCGCTGGCAGCTTGGCAGTTCAAGGCTTTCCATAAAGCCTTCCTGACCTGCAGAGACTTTTCAGCACACCCTGGTCCCACCTGAGCCTCAACCACCGCCAGCCTCGTTGGTTCTTTCCCCAGATGATGGAACACTGAGCTGCCCGCATGGGGTCTGGGGACTGCCCTCTGGCCTGGCCGAATGTCTTAGCTACAACCTCTCTGCGTGCAGGAATGCAGCTGATGTCGTCTGGGCTCCGACACAACCTAGTCCTGCTCAGACGCCCAAGTCACCAAGTCTCTAAGAGAATGCGGAAATGGCCCATGCTGTTCCAGGGCCAGAGTCATACTTCTTGCTCCTATGGGCATTCATCTGCCTCAACTACTTTTTAGGCGAGCCGTATTATTAATTCCCCGGCTGGACAGCAACATCACACAAAAAGCAGCCTCTCTGTGAAGGGAGGACCGTCGACTCTGGACTGAAGACAGGAGGTCTGGGCCTCGTTATGTCTTCCACAGCTAAGACACCCACAGCAAAGCACTTTCAACCCTAAGAGGGATGGGGAAGAGTGAGAGGGAGGTGCCCATCTCAATCATTTACAATTCTTGTTCCACAGTTAGAAGTGTGGGGATTGGAGTAACTGAATTTTAGGTGCTGAATGTTTACACCAAGAGGTCAAGGAGGCTTGGAGGCACTGGCATGAAATCTGGGGGATTCTGGTGCACAAATCACTTAGGAGGTGTGGGGCAGGGTGGGGTGGGCCGAGAGAAACAGTTACAAAGCTTCAGGTTTATAGAGAGACCAAGGAATCTGAAAGTGTGCTGACAGTCTGAGAAAAGGCATTGTCAGGGGGTCCTCAGACTGCCACTCAAGGTTATTTGGGGCCAAGAAATAGATTCACGTGGAGCAGAATCCAAGGACACTACCCAGGCAGGGTTCTGGGGTCTTATAAATCCACTGTGGCAAGGATCCGAGGGGAGCCGACATCCTGGACAGAGAAGGATTTAGTTCCCCAGTGATCAGGTAGCTGCGAAAGCTAGCCTCAGCCTGAGATTCAGCCAGAGCAGAAACAAAGGAGAACCGAGTCTGAAACAGGAGCCATGGCTGTGTATAAGGCTGTCAACATACTTCATCCAATTTGTATGGTTAGGGGGCTGTCATTTTTAAGAGAGGAGTCTCGCCCTCAAGTCATCGAGAAATCCTTTGTGGGGTCTGGTGGCAAAGCTAAGAGGATGGTAGAGTCCTGGGAAAGACAATCGAGCTATCTCTGGGGACAAAAATACCTTCATGATGGAAAACAAGAGGAAATGGGCACAGATCCATCTCCTGGAGGATGCCCACTTGAATACGGGGACGGCCCCAGCACTTGGCCCACCCCATTACCATGCTCCCAACACACCAAGCCCCTCAGTGCCCACTGCTTACACTCACCTCCCCCAGGAGGCGGCACGGCACTCAAGTAATTAACTCCTTTCTCCTGCCTGGGGTCTTGGCCATTCCCCCCGGCCCTGAAAACATGGACTCCAGGCAGGAAAGGACCTTGCCTCCCGGTCACACGGGATGACTGATGATAAAGGAAGATTGGGAAACTGGATCATGAAAGCAAACTTTATTTGCTTTCATGCATTTGGACCGAAAGGTCCTCTGCAAAAGGAACAAAGAGTAGCATGTTGGGGTTGATAAGCACATCTTCCAACTGAAGCACAGCTGGAAAGCCAGATAAGTAGCAGACAGGAAGTGAGAGTTAGCTCTTCTACAGCAGAACAAAACCCCACACCAGAACAAAGGAAAGAGGGAAGTCAGTTAGCAAGCAACTCAAACTCCCTCTTCCAAGTCTGTCTTTCCCCATCGCAAGAAATTCCTCAAAAGAGGGGATTCCTAGGAAAGGGGTGTGTGCCTGGATGCATGAGGTCTTTGCACAAAAACAGTTTTTCCAAAAACAAATGGGTTAGAGAAGCTACCCTCCGAGGATCATTTTGAAGAGCCCCCTGCTGGCTCTCCAATTAGGGGAAGTTTAAAAAAATAAAAGAATGGCGAACCACAGGCTCCTCATCAGGATCAGGACAGAGAAGAACCCAGAGAGCCAAAGCAGCAAATGCGGATGGGACGGATTAGAGGGCTGCCCTTCCACACTGATGACGCTGGCGGGTACAAGCTTACTATGAAACAATGTCTACAGACTTACAGAAACGCCTGTGCTCTTGCACATGACCCAACTTAACTCAACTGCTGCACACTCTAAATCCTATCCCGCGCCCTCCCACAGGTTACACGCTCCCCCTCCACCACCACTCCCCCGCCTCTGCTGGTAAACCACGTTCCAGTGTTGCGAACACTCATTTCCTCCAGAAAGCCTTTCTCCATCCCACACGACACCGCTCACATTGTTCAGTGATGAGGAAAAGGAAACACGCTAGACTCAAGTCTGAGCTGCAAACCTTCCAGCAGCTATTTCGTAAAAAGAGCTGTGCTGGCTGGACATCCTGCTACTAAAGAAGCCTGTTCTCGCCCTCTCAGCAGCATTTTAGGTGTTTGCGCTGAGTGTGTGTGCGCTCTTAGCCTGGCAGGATCCCTGTGGGGCAGGGACGAGTGACTCTGACTCCCCTCCTCTCTCCAACCCCATCAGCCACCCCAAAAGCACTCACTACAAAGTTCTTTCCCACAAAGAGGAATAAAACATCACCAGGCTCTTCAGGCATTTACCTGTGTATCTCCCAGGGATCCTGCAATTTTCCCCTTTCCCCAGAATTAAATGCCTGGCGCGGAAAATCAACAACTACCTGGGTCAGCTTCGGGATGCTCCTGGCTCTCTGGTCGACAGTACTTTCCAAACGCCTCCTCCTTCGGAATGTCGGGGTAGAGATAGACCAGCGGAGACACCAGGATATTGGTAGCGTCCATGATCTTATAGCCCATGATGATTTCAGCAAATGACATGTTGTTCAGCTGCTGCTTAGTATATGGTTCCACTGACTGGATCTGGGTCTTACCTGTCATGGGATATTGTAAGGGAAGATAAGGGAACCTATACCCAGGTGATCGCAGAGAAAAGGACCCAATTTATTCTTCCTTAAAAGGGAAAGTTTTATGCCAACCTAGCTCCCGAGCCCTGAATATCCTGTCTCGTCAGTGGGCACTGTGGAAATGCCCAGCTGCCTTCTGGAGAGATGACCCAGGTGGCTCACAGACAATATATCTGAAGAACTACTTGCATAAGGTGTTATTAACAAGACAGGTAAGAAAGGAGATGAAGAATGAGGTTAAAATGGCAAATATTTCTAGGCAAATATTAGCCCCCGAAGTAAGCAAAACAAATCTGGCAAACAACCCTCCAGCTGAAAGAATTTGGAGAGAAGAATTCACTGTAAAGCGTCACTTCAAGTCCAAGGTAGGGGAGTGCGAAGCCATCTTTGCCCACTAGGGGGCAGTGGGTGCTTGAAACTAGCAGCCGTGGGGACCGCAGGAACTGCCACCAGGTGGGTCGGGTTAGAGTCCAACTTACCGCTGATGTCCTTCTCTACCCAAGTGAAGGTGACACCTCCTTCTTTGCTGCTTTCACTGAACCGTAGCAGGAAGGTGCCTGGGGGCTTGGTGCTCAAGATGGCCCGCTCCCGCTCCTTACTGATAAAACCCATTATGTACCTGGAGCCAAAGAAAAGCAAAAAGAGGGTCTCCACCACTGGCCTCCGAGAGAGCAGGTGACTTGTTACACACGTGCACTCCGCCAGACACATTTCAACCTACCCTTCATTCCAAAGAGCCAGGATGTACTTTTTCACAAGGTCAATGATATTGTCCAGCCAAACCCAGAAGGAGAAGCCTTTGCCAGCCATGTTTTCCTGAAGAAAAGAATAATGGGAAAGCTAAGTCTACCCTCCCAGCCGCCTCCTTCCTCGGGGCACGATGCCACCAAAATCCCCAGGCCTATCTACCACAAGACCATGAGTCTTCAGCCTTCAAGCACAGTACCATCCAGGACAACCTCACAGGTGAGCACTCCCTCCCACTCCCAGAGGCGGCCGAGGATTTAACAAGATGGCTTACTTTGCAAAATTTAGCCCACGTAATCTGACACCCTGAATAGTTCACACCGGGTCCTGAAGGAAAAAAAGAATAAAGCGGTGTAATTCGCAGCTTTGAATCAAGGTCTTCTTTTCTTTTTTTAAGAAGATTTTTATTTAGGGGCGCCTGGGTGGCTCAGCGGGTTGGGCCGCTGCCTTCGGCTCGGGTCATGGTCTCGGGGTTCTGGGATCATGACCTGAGCCAAAGGCAGAGGCTTAACCCACTGAGCCACCCAGAGACACGGTCCTATTTCTTGTAAAAGAACACACATTCATACAGATCTATCCCACAATGGGCTGAGACACCACTGGCTTCCACGTGCTTGAAGCTTCCTACTGTTGTATGCATGCCTGTGCTTGCACACGGACACACACATCCACCCTCACAAAACCCCATCATCAGAGCACCTGGGGTGTGGTGGTGGATGACATGTTAAGTCTCTCCCCCCACCACCCCCCACCACCTCCTCCTCATCTTGGCGTGGTGGACTGGGGACCAGTAGCATACACAAATAAGCTGACAGTGTTAGAGGCTCACGTTTGGGGACAGCACAGGATAAAGCTGCTTTCAGTCCAGGAAGCATGCAAAATAGAGCACTGAAAAAAAATTTTTTTTTTTTTCAGGAGAAAAAAATAAAAAAAAGCCTCCAGTTTATTGAAGAAACAGACAGGGATGTCAAGCTTTTACCTCTGCCTTCTAACACGCACTTAAAAAAAAAAACCTCTTCCTACGGCTAGACAAAGTGGTGCTCTGGAAGGGTGAGGGGTCCGGCCACCAGGAGAAGAGACATCTGCCACCCACCTCAGAAATGATCACTGGGAGGCGAGCTTCCTCTGCCTCCCACCTCCGCGGGCACCCCCCACCCCCCTAACTGCACAAGCACATGCTTCCTAGCCCCAGCGGGAGCCTCACTCAGCACATTTTCCTGAAAACAGCCCCACGGGCCAGATTCCTTTTCTGAGGATGGCAGCAGGGAAAAGAGGGAAAATGCTGACCTAAGAGTTTCTCAGCCAATGTCGTCAACTGCTCGATGCTCAGCCCTCGCTTTGTGGTGGAGGAGAACTGCCAGCTCAGCACCTCGGCCACTTGATCCCAGGTGCCAATCGGGGGCTTGGTGAAGAAGTTCACGTTCTGTTGAAAATAACACGGTTGCTCAGTGAGATGAGACAGCGGTGCCCAAGGACCCACATGAGGGACAACAACGGTTTCCAGAGGACGGGCGCCTACCTTGGGGTTGTTGGTCAGCATGTTATACCACAGGATTGATGCCCAGGCGTTTGGCATCTGACAGATGTTGGAGATCACCACAACTGGCAAGGAATGGGTCTGTGGAGAAAGTAGGCAATGAGCTGGGGAGGCACAGGGCCCTCCCAGCATCAAACAGCTCTTCAGCCATACCTGCAGGTTTTGGAATAAAAGAACGTGCCGTGAACTACACCTACCGCCAACTTTTGGGGAAGAGCGTGGCTGAGTCAGCTCAACAGCCAGGGTGGAGCGAATGCCAAACATGGGCCACAGGACACAACCAAGAACTTGAAAATCTGACTTGCTCAAACCTGGAACGCACAGCCCTCTGATTCCCCATCTATAAAACCTGGAAGGCAGCCTCTGGGAACTGAAGCTGTATCTACCCGTTAAAAGAGAGGTCCCAGGAGTCAAAGACAAGGATTTTTGCTTTCTTCAGCTCCATCTTTTAACTTAAAGATCAAGAAAGTTGGTAAAAAGAGAAGGCAAAGGGCATGAATGCCTGTGTACTAAAACACTGGCTGTCTAAAGATTATTTTGCCCAAACCTTATAAAGTCAATGATAACTAATTTCTAAATAGATTCTTCACATCAAGTCTGCTAAAAGCGGACTTTATAGTTGACCCTTGAACAACATGGGTTTGAACTGCATGGGTCCATTTATACGTGGATGATTTTTTTTTTTTTTTTAAACAGAGTACAGGACTGTAAATGTATTTTCTCTCATGATTTTCTTAGCAACATTATCTTTTCTCTAGCTTACTTATTGTAAGAATACAACATAGAAAACATGTGACATACAAAATGTGAGCTCATAGACTATGCTACCAGGAAGGCTTCCAGTCAACAGCAGGCTGTAAGTTGTTAGGTTTGGGGTGGGGGTAAAAAGTGACACCCAGATTTTCAACTGGGCAGGCGGTTGGCACCCCTAATCTATGCTGTTCAATGGTCAAGAAGTGCATCTTCTAAGCACTCAGGCAAGATTCTATTTTCAGTGGGATACGCTGAGGTTTTGGGAGAAAAACGAGCAAAAATAAACACAGTGCTGAGCAGAGAGTCATCTCTCTACCGTCTCTAGAAAAAGTCCCAACTAGAGGTTCTTGTCCTCAATCACCCCCGCACGCAGCCCCATCCCAACTCTGTGGCAGAACTCACCTCAAGGTCAATCTTGAGGCCTTGGTGATACACCTCAGTCTCAAATGTGATCAGGTGCAGCTCCTCGGTGACAATCAGGGAGGCCTACAACAACAAGGAGGACACTCTCTTCCTCAGAGAAAATGGCCCTGGACACTAACAGCCATGGCTGAGGAGAGTAATAGGCCACAGCCATGTTGCACCAAGAAGGGCAGTTCACCAGGAGGCCATGGACACGCGGCCAGGGACACAACTCTGAGCACATGCGGTCTACGACTCTTAAGTGCTATGATCTTCAAACTCATCCTTTACTGGTTTTATCAGACTAATACAGACCCAAGAGTTTATCTGTAAAACGGGGAAGAACACCTGTACCCATTACCCAGTTTAAGGAAAAGACTGTTACCACTGAGATTCTCAGGGTGCCCTTCCCCACTGTCATCCCTGTCCCTGCTCCCTCAGATCTAACTGCTGGGTTAGTTTTTGGGTTTGGGTTTTGGGTTTATCATTTCCTAGCTTTTCTTTATGGCTTTACCATATTTCTATCTCTAATAACGTATGCACTGTTTAGTTTTGGATGTTTGTGAACCTAATACAGATGGAACCATATCCCTATGTACTGGGGTGCCTCACTTTTTGCGTCCGCGGCTGTATGACTCTGCTGGTTATTCATATTTACAGCTATATCGTATTCCATCATAGGACTCTACACCAAATCCTTTATCCACTCCGTGGGGACGGTGGGCTGCATTTAGGACTTACCGTCAGGCTGCTGTGACATTTTGTACATGTCTTCTCACATATATGTACAAAGATTTGTCTTCTGTTAAATCCTGGGAGCACTGCTGGTTCATTTTTTATAATCCCAAACTGTTCTCTGAATTGTTTATACTCCCACCAGCAATACTGCAATCTTATTTTCAGTGAGACTTCCAATGAATTTTCAGAAACACAATTCCAATTCATTTTTAAGATTTTTTCTTTAATTTATTTGTTTGACAGACAGAGATCGCAAGTAGGCAGACAGGCAGGCAGAGAGAGAGAGAGAAAGAGAGGAGGAAGCAGGCTCCTGCTGAGCAGAGAGCCCGATGTGGGACTCGATTCCAGGACCCTGGGATCATGACCTGAGCCGAAGGCAAAGGCTTTAACCCACTGAGCCACCCAGGTGCCCCAATTCCAATTCATTTTTAAAACACTTTTTTTTCTAACTATAAAAATAATATATGTTCAGTTTAAAATACAATTATTATGGAGATAGGAGAGAGCAGTCCCGGGCACTGACAGCAGCAAAAATACATCAACACTGGTATATATTCTTTGAGAATTCTGGAATACATACACGAATGGACAAAAAACTGTGTAGCACGCTTTGCAAACAAATATACTAATTTACTACTCAAATGATTTTGCATCTTACTTTTTTTCTTTTTTTTTTTTTTTAAGTAGGTTCCACATCCAATGTGGGGCTTGAATTCATAATCCCAGATCAAGAGTCACCCATGCTCTACCCCATATCTTGCTTTTTCAAAACAAACATGCCACATACATTTTTCTATGTTGTTGAACTTCACTCTTAATAGTCAAGTACTATAAATTCATTTTTTTAAAAAAGGTTTGCTGCATTTTAGAGAAGAGGGAAGACTGGCTCAGGACATAAACACCAGAAAAAGAACAGGGTGTCACAATCTTTTCAAAAGATTAAAAACCAGTTTCTGGTCACATTTATCTATTTTTTTTTTAAGTTTATTATTGACACCAGGCATTCAATAATCTGAATCAGAGGGAGGGAGACAATAAGGGAAATAGGGGGAGGGGTTTTATTCTTTTTCTTTTTCTTAGATGTTTAACCCCAACTTAATTACAACCTTCAATGGCCCCTCAGTGAGAAAAACAGGTCACCAAAAATGGAGCCAAGCCATCTCAGCCAGCAGAAGTTGGAAGGGGAATCTGGAAAGCCCCAGGCAAGGTGGAAAACTTCTTTTCTACCAAATGGGTGTGGGTAAGTCAGTCAGGGACTTTCCACTCCTCCTTCAAGATGAGCCAACTCCCACCAACTCCCAGGACAATCACGGAAATGCTCCAAGCTGGAGAACTCCAGAGCAAATGTGACTGACCATGTCATTCTGAGCTGCGGTGATTTTTCTGTATGACTACAGCTTAACCACAGGTTGGTGTCTCTAATTCTGGGCAACAGGAAGGCTCTTGTTCTCTCCCCATCAAAGAAGACCCTCCCAGGTGGCTCCCATCCCCAATAATACTCACGTCACAATTGGCTCGGCCCCCGTTACCACATCTTTGCTCTCTCAGGGTCTGTAAGAGGGGCAGGGAACACCTGCGTCACGTGAGGCTCCCCCTGCCACCAACCTCCCTCTCCCTCTTCCCAACTCCCCAGGAGACACAGACCCAGGCTTCCCCCTCGTACCAGGTGTTTGAATTCTGCAGACAGGCTGCCATTGTTGGACTCTTCCATGTTCATCACTTTTGTGTTTGTGCCCAGAATGTTAAACTTCCGGGACCTGAATCACAGCAGAGAAACCAAGCACACAGGTGACTGGGCAGCCAGAAGACAAAGTCAGATTAAGCAAATCAAAAGGAAGCCTCTAGGCTGAACTTACCCTCTGAGAGCTGCAACATCCCCGGAGTCTCTGTGAAGAATATAAACTGGTGTTAATAAAACTGGCCCCGGGTTTCTTTGAAAAGTCTACTTTGAATACCTGTCATTTACTCTGCTGGAAAAACCACTGTTTTCCAGGGAATTTCTAGAAACGATTCAATTACATTTTATATGGGCAACATGACAACCCTCTCCGTACCTACCCAGCATCACCTCTCCCTTCCCAAGAGACCCTTGGTTCTGCTCAAGTGTCCTTCCTGTGCCCACCTCCAGGGGATCCTGACTGTTGAGTACATCAGAGCACAGCATGCCCACAGCGCAGCGGTCCTGGGGGTGCAGACATGACCTCCACTGTCTCCCTCAGGCTGGGAAGGAGTTACAACCCAGCTGGATTTACTTTTTCCACAGCTTCAACTGAACAGAAGCAAGGAAGCATAGGACCTTAATTACCAGAAGCAGCCATACTGGAACTCAGAAGGGAATGTTACAAAGCTGATGATACTCATGATGGCCGAGGAGGCAGATGGAAGATACTGGGTCCTGGGTGACGTAAGTGAGTCACTAATCTCACTGTCAGGAACTTGCCCTAACTGTGCATTTCCAGTTACGATGGGCTGCAAATTTCCTTATTATTTAAGCCACACTGGACTTTCTGTAAAGGTTTACGGTTACCAGTAACTCAGACCATCCCATCTGGTATTAGCTGGAAACATTCCCCCTGGTGTGTCCAGTGTCTTCTGCTCTACTGTGTTTGAATATATGGTTTTTTTATATAGTTGGCATTTCTCATTCTTTCTTCTTTTTTTTTCATTTTAAGTATTATCTTAAAAGTGGTTCTCCATTGCTATATATGCACTAGTATAGCTCCTATTTATTAAATAGAGCATTTTGTGTGGGTTTATAGATTAAAACTGATTAAATTTTTAAGCCATTCAGAAGATATCTTTCCATATATCACATTTAAGAGTCTTGTTACCAGGAAGTCCTCCCTTGTGTTTAATCTAGACTTCCTTTTTATTTATTTTTTTTTTTAAGATTTTTATTTGAGAGAGGGAGAATGAGCAGGGAGGAAGGGCAGAGAGAGAAGGAGAGAGAAGGAGCCTGACTTGGGGCTCGATCCCAGGAGTCTGGGATCATGACCTGAGCCAAAGGCAGCACTTAACTGACTGAGCCACTCAGGCGCCCCTCTAGATTTTGTTTTTAGAAAAAAAAAAATTGTGTATTATACCTTTGATATATAACTGATGAACAAGAAAGTGCACTACTGAAAACGTATGTGGATAAGGTCTGACATATGTATGTACATACGCTATACATACCTGTGAAATCACCAGCACAAACTAGATAATGAACAGACCCATCATCCCCAAAGTTTCCCCACGCCCATTTGCAATCCATTCCCGACTCCCACATCCCACCCCACCCCACCTCTGTCCCCAGGCCACCACTGATCTGCTTTCAGTCCCCATAGATTCATTTTCATTTCTAGAATTCTACGTAAATGGAAACTAAAGGACGAGTCTTTTTTTCTTCGTTTGGCTTCTTTCACGGAGTGTAATTATTCTGAGATTTCTTATGCGTTGTAAGTTATCAGTAGTTCATTCCTCTTTATTGGTGAATAGTCCATTCATAGATAGACCATAAATTATGACGTTCCAGTGGCGCAGTTGGTTAGCGCACACTTATAGATATGCCACAAATTGTTTATTTGTTCCCCAATTAATGGACATTTCTGTATAGCCCTGTGTGTGGATATATACTCTCATTTCTTTTGGGTTAATACCTTGGAGTGGAATAGGCGGCTCCTAGGGTAGGTGCATGTTTTGTTTAACTGGTAGGAAACTACCAAGTTCTTTTCCAAAGTGGTTTTATCATTTTGTGATTTTACCATCATTATATTATATATACATTCACCTACATGTATTTAAGATACATGAGTTTAAACATACATCTGATGGTTAGCAAACATCTTGAAAACAAAACAACTTGAAACTCAAAACAACTTGAGTTTCTCATTCAAATCCTCTCCAATAGCAAGTCTTCTCAAAACTCCTTCCCGAATAATCCATCCTTCACTCACCGATCTGAGGTATCATTTTAAACATATATGAATTCTTTATATAAACTTGAAGGTCTATTTCTGGACTCAAGATTTTATTTCAATGGTCAATCAGTTTATTCCTGCACTAGTAACACACTCATTTAGTAGCTGAAACTACATTTTAGTATCTGGCCAGGCATCTTCCCGTACCACTCCCACTTATTTTTATTCATTAAAAATTTTTTTTCAGAAGTGAAATGGTGGTCACCAGGGACTGGGAGGATAGGGAAATGGGGGCTTGTTGTCAATGGATGTAGTTTCCATGTTGCAAGATGAAGAAGTTGTGAGATCTGTTGCACAACAATGTGAATATACTTAACACCATATACGTAAAAATGAATAAGATGGTAAATTTTATGTTAAGATTTTTTACCCTAAAGATAAATAAATACATCCATTTTTTAAAAAAACTATCTTTGTGGAGTGCCTGGGTGGCTCAGTCAGTTAAGCACCTGCCTGCGGCTCAGGTCATGATCTCAGGGTCCTGAGATTGAGCCCCATGTCAGGCTCTCTGCTCAGTGGGGAGTCTGCTTCTCCCTCTCCCTCTCTCTCTGCTCGTGTTTCCTCTCTCTCTCTCAAATAAATAAAATCTAAAAAATCCCTAAAAAACAAAAACTATCTTTGCTTATTTTTCTCATCTAAGCTACAACTTGAAGAGTTAAGTCAAAGAGTTTAAGAAATTCTATTCACATTTTGCTTGGTGTCACATTAACTGAGAAGAACCAACATCTTTATAATAAAAGTCTGCAATCCAGAAATATGATTTTTTCGTCACTTTTTACAATATCCCTTCCTCATAAAATTTCACAATTTTCTTCAAAGAGTCCTTAAACATTTCTGTTAAGTTTATTCCAATGTATTTTTTTACTTTTTTGCTTATTGTGAAATCATTTTTTCTATTATAATTTCTGACTGGTTAATGCTAATGTATGGCTGAAGTTATTAATTTTTGTTTATTTATTAAACCTATCGCCTTCCGTAAGTCCCTTATTTCATTAGTAATTATTTTCCAATTCATTCTCATGGTAATTTCCAGATACTTCCATCACCAAAAATGAAGGATCATTTTATTTTTTCAAATCTCTTCAAAGTGTATGTGCATTTTAATTTTTGGAAAGTATAGTTAAATTTTGAGAAGTATGTATTCCATTATATGGTGGAACAATAAAAAGCGTGAACAATAAAAAGCATCAATTTTTCCCATATAGTCAGGGTTTTATATGATATGCATAAATTACATTTATAGGTAAAAAAAATTAAATAAAAATGGGAACCCAGAGTCACAACCGCAATCGCAACTCACATCTGTATCACCAGCTTTATGATTTTGTTCAGGCACGTAAATGACAATGTACTACAAGACTTTTGAAAACTTTTGTTCAAAAAATGAAGATTCCCTGAATGGAGATAAAGTCTCTAAGGTCACATGATTATCTAAGTTCTCATTTCTGTTTCTCATTTGAAAAAAAGAAAAAAGAAGAGTGAAGATACAGAGTACTTACTTGTCAATGCACACTTTAATTTTAAGCTGATAATTTAACTCAGGGAACTTGACCAGCAATCTGTTTCAAAAAAGGGGAAAAAAAGTTTTTGAGTAAAGAAAAAAAAAAAATCAGTTAAAAAAGAAAAAAGTCAGTAGGCTCCCCCCCAAGCAACTCTTACGTAGAGGAATATAAAAATTCACAACCCTTTGTTTCTAAAAGGTGAAAAAAGCATAATCCCAAATTCCTCTTCCTGCTAGTAGTGCGTCTTTGACCTTATGCCGAGTATCACCTCTTTGGGCCAAGAGGTACTGAAAGAAAGCCTAAGAACCTCGAACTTGGACAAAGTTGTGAGAGATTCACAAAAGAATAGTAAAAGTCATTTCATGAGAAGTATTACAGGAATACGAGCTCTGCAGCTGGTGTTCTTTCTGTTAAACCTGAAACCTAACACCAAGTTTCTGAAGAGGGAAATTTCACAGCAGAAGGGCAAACCCCAACATACCTGTTCTTACTTAGGTGTGAAAGCCACACACATACCCCCCCCACACACACACAAGGCACACCACCCATCTGCTCCGGGGCTTCTTAGCTTCTGGATCTCAAAGCCTTACTCATTCTCTTAAAATCCTTAGGGAAAAGTAGGCTCCAAAAACAGAAAATAACCAGCATTATTCTGCCTCTGTTGCAGGACAGAAGGAGACACAACAGCCTAAGACTACAGGCCTGAAATTATAGGACTAAGCCCAGTAATCTCCAAAAGAGGTAACCATTCCTTGGCTTTTGACAGGAGAATCAAGGAGCAAGCTGGTATTATGTCAACAAATTCCATACCTGCCATCCTACCGCCTGTGACGCCTGGAAAGGACAACCGTGGCCACCAACTCTGCTCTCATCCTAAGAGCGTCTCTCAAAAAAATATCTAGCAAAAGAGGAAGTGCGGGGCCCACCTGACTTTGGTAGTGAACTGGACTCCAGTCTTGATGACCAATGGCCGGTCAGGGTGCATGGGCATACAGGGCTGCCGCTCGACCACAAAGGCACTGAAAGGCAAAAAGAGGGACAGCGGTCCACATGCTTCACGGAGAACCGGTCTTCGTCCTGTGCCTCCAAAGCAAGAGGATAAGGGAAAGAAACCAGAATTCTAAGTTACCTTTTCATTAAGTTTCTAAACAGCTCTACAATCCTCTCCTCCAGCATTGGCCGGTGCTGTACGATGGGATCCCCCTTGTAGGACACTTTCTGCTGCAACTCCTCTAGTTTCTTAATTTGTTGGCGGGTCTGAAGTTGAGATTCCGCTAATGAGGTTATCCTGCCAATAAAATAAGAAAGCTATTAGTTACCCGTGTGAGTGCACACCAGGGAGCTGGAGAAGAGGCAGGGAATCCCACAGATACAAACACCACCATGCAGACCCCTCAAATCATAAAGGGAAATTTTTTTTTTATTGTGGTAAAATATATATTGCATAAAATTGATCATTTTAAGTGTGTAATTCAGTGGTATTAAATAAGAAAAAGCGGGGGCGTGGCTGGCTGACTTAGGAGAGCATGTGACTCCTGATCTCAAGTCATGAGTTCAAGCCCCACACTGGGCATAGAGCTTACTAAAATATTAAAGTAAAAATAAGAAAAGGGGAATCTACTTTGTTTTTATAAAAACAGTCCCTTCCTAAAATTTAACATTTCAAAGAGAGAGCTAGGCACAGAGGAAGAAGTGTTAAAATTTATCCCCCAAAGAAGGGGTGCCTGGGTGGCTCAGTTGTTAAGTGTCTGCCCTTGGCTCAGGTCATGATCCCAGGGTCCTAGGACAAAATCCTGCATTAGGCTCCCTACTCAGCCAGGAGCTTTCTCCAACATCGCCCTCTGCCCCTCCCCCTGCTCATGCTCTCCTCATGCTTTCTTGTTCTAATAAATAAAATCTTAAAAAAAAAACAACAACAAAAAAACTTATACTCCCAAGAACCATGAAGAAGTGACAAGCATTCGAACAAGCATTTGAATTATGAAGAACATGAAATATAAAACGTGGCATTGCTGTCTTCATCCTAACCTGTCCTTGTACCCAAATGTAGGACAGGGGAAATGCAATTAGACAGCCCAAGAAGATGGGTTTGAGCTAGCTCTGCCACTATCTGTGCAACCCTGGCCACGTCCCTTCACCATCACGGGTCTTCATGACCCCATGCATGACAGAAGGAGTTGAAGCACATGATTAATAAAGACTAGAAGACCTCAGAGAGAAGGTGTAGATGTGCTGGGGTTGGGGGTAGCGGGGGCAGGTAGGAACAGGACAGCTGCTGGAATTTCTGGGCTCCCTGACTCTCTTCTGGCACTTACATTCTCCCATTCCCAGAACTTAAGATTTTTGGTTCCCTGATCAGAAGGCACTTAAGGTGGCCTGGGTGGCTCAGTCGGTTAAGCATCTACCTTGGGCTCGGTCCTGATCTCAGGGTCCTGGGATCAAGTCCTGCACTGCACTCCCTGCTGAGCAGGGGGTCTGCTTCTCCCTCTCCCTCTGCCCTTCCCCCCGTCTCCCTCTTTGTCTCTCACAAATAAATAAAATCTTTAAAAAAAAAAAAATGTGGTGTGCTTGCATGGCTGTCAGTTAAACATCTGCCTTCAGCTCGGGTCATGATTCCAGGAACTGGAACTGAGTCCCATGTCAAGGTCTCTGCTCAGAGGGGAATCCGCTTCTCCCTCTGTCTCTCCCCAGTTTGTGCTCTCTCTCATCCTCTCTCTCTCAAATGAGTAAATAAAAATCTCTTAAAAAAATAAAATGTATTTTTTAAAAAGCACTTAAAACTGCTTTCAGTGAATTAATAAAATTCAAGATTACTGAGGATATGAACAAGCAGGCTTTCTCATGTAGGACTGTCCTAAATTTCCAGTTTCATGCTCTACACCTGCTGGGTGTCCTTTTAGGTCAAGTTTCTCATGGTTTAAGCTGGCGCATCATGGGCACTGCTGGGCCTTGCACGTCAAGGATGCTCACTAAGGACATGCTGCATGAACAGCAGGGAAAGAGCAGATAAAAGAATGATCCCACTGATGTGAAAATGTAGAAATGACTACCATATTTTCTTTTCAGATTTTTTAAAAAAGATTTTGTTTTATTTATTTGACAGAGATCACAAGTAGGCGGAGAGGCAGACAGGCGGTGGGAGGCAGGCTCCCCGCTGAGCAGAGAGCCAGATGCAGGGCTCAAACCCAGGACCCTGAGATCATGACCTGAGCCGAAGGCAAAGGCTTTAACCCACTGAGCCACCCAGGCACCCCAACTTTTCAGATTTAATTAATGTATTATTTGAGAGAGAGAGCACGAATGCACTGGGATGGGGGAGCAGAGGGAGAGGGACAAGCAGACTCAGCACCAAGTGCACAGCTCGACATGGGGCTTGATATCATGACCCTGAGATCAGGACCTGAGCCAAAATCAAGAGTTGGATACTTAACTGACTGAGCCACCCAGGCGCCCCTAGAGATGACTATCTTTATGTCCATAGGTACAATAACATATGGCAAGGGGGATGGCCACCAAAATTCCACGTGTAGGGACCTCTGAATGATTGTTTGGGTTTTTTGGGAAGATTTTATTTATTTATTTATTTATTTGACAGACAGAGATCACAAGTAGCCAGAGGCAGGCAGGCATGGACAGAAGTGGAGGAAGCAGGCTCCCTGCTGAGCAGAGAGCCCGATTCGGGGCTCAATCCCAGGACCCTGGGATCATGACCTGAGCTGAAGGCAGAGGCTTTAACCCACTGAGCCACCCAGGTACCCTGAATGATGGGTTTTTAAAAGACTTTTCTTCTCTTTATTAATTTTCTGTGTATCAACTTTTTTCCCTTATAAAAAGCATGCATTACTTTAAGATTATTAGAATAACTAAAATTCAAACTTTGGTCTGTGCTACATAGTTAAAACCAAAAGCTTTATTTAAATTACTAAATAAAACAGAGGCGCCTGGGTGGCTCAGTCAGCTGGGTGTCTGGCTCTTGGTTTCGGCTCAGGTCGTGACCTTTCAGGCATGGGGTTCTACACTCAGCACAGAGTTGGCTTCGGATTCTCTCTCTCCCTCTCCCTCCTCCTCTGCCTTTCCTTCCATGTGCATGCTCTCTCTCTCTCAAATAAAAAAAAATATATTTAAGATATCGCAACATAAACAAAATTTTATTTAAAAATTGTCCAGGGGCGCCTGGGTGGCTCAGTCATTAAGTGTCTGCCTTCAGCTCAGGTCACGATCCCAGCATCCTGGGATGGAGCCCCACACTGGGTTTCCTGTTCCACAGGAAACCTGCTTCTCCCTCTCCCGCTTCCCCTGCTTGTATTCCCTGTCACATAAATAAAATCTTTAAAAAGAAATTATCCAAATAAAGTAAAAGTTTTTAGATTTTAACTCTCAGACTTAACTATTTTTTTAAAAGATTTTATTTATTTATTTGAGATACAGTATGAGCACACACAAGCCAGGCGAGGGGTAGATGGAGAGGGAGAGGGAGCAGCAGACCCCCCCCAACGGGGCAGGGAGCCCAATGCGGGGCTTCATCCCAGGACCCTGGATTAGGACCTGAGCCAAAGGCAGACGCTTAACCGACTGAGCCACCCAGGTGCCCCTAGGCTTAATCTGAGTCCATCCAAGTCTGCACCTGTGAGATGCAGTCCACTCCTGAGTCTGCAGTTAGGACCATAATTTTAGAACAGTGTTCTGGAAAAGAAGGAAACACTCCTCTGTCATCTTTTACCAGTTTTCGAGGCGATCTAAGCAGATGTTGGGAGGGCCTCCGATGCACGCAATCTGTTGCCGCCTCTTCCAGTCAGCCAGCTCTTCGTCCGTGAGAGTTTTCTGCACATACTCCATCGCGGACAACAGCCCCGCCAACTCACTCACGATGTTCTGGTTGGAAACCCAAACAAAGTCAGGAAACATTTCCTCAGACCGTCTCTAACCACACTCTTTAGTCAGTTCCAGAGAAGGAACTCATCAGAAACCAGGCAAGTTCTGCCAGGAAGTGCCGTGACTGCCCAGGTCGGGGGGATGGTGCAGGCAGGAAAGGTGGTCCGGCTCTTACCCGCCGCATCTGGTCCAGCGCCGTGAGCATCTGCTCCAGCTGCTGCATCTTCTGCCTGGTCACTGACTGGTTGTTTCCATTCAGGTCCTGCATGTCTGCGGATGAAGGAAAACCCCCTTGATGCGATGGAACACTTGTGTCCTTAACCCTCCCAGAAGCACCAGGGGCCCTCTGTGCACCACCTCCACCCCGGCCACCAAGTCTGAGCAGGCGCTGGATACACGAGTCCCAGGACTCAGGTAACAGACGCACTTTCTCCAGCAGATTTTAATGTCTCTAACTGTCACTTGCCTCCTTGACTCTTGAGGGTTTTATAGTTGAAATCAAAGTCATCCTGGAGATTCTCGACCACTTTCATTTTCTGTTCTAGATCCTGTTTAAAACCAACACACAAAACACACCAAAACAAAACAAAAAGGGAGAAGTGAACAAGAGTTTCCTGGGAAGAGGGAAAGGAAAGTTTCTGAGAATTAAAATGAAGCCAAAACCTCAAACAAGACACACGCAGGACCCACAGGCAATGTCCCCCAGGAAAGGCTTCCTGCCCACGACTTGCTTCACCTGTACTCGCTTCCGAACATCTTGTAGGTGCTGCTCTAGCATCTGCTGCTTCTCTGTCACCACGGCGGCTGTGGGGTGGTTGGCCTGGCCCCCTTGCTGTCAGAAAAGGAGATCAACACACACATGAACACAGGAACTACGGGGATCTGTCCAGTGCCATCCCACCCACCACCCTTCCTGTTTGGCTGAGGTGCTGCTGCCACTGGGAGGGGAAGGGATACAGGCCGCAAGCTGGGCGTTGTCAGCGTGGTGCAAGTACACTCCCCCGAAGTTTGGCCTGTGTCCTTGCCTTGACCTTAGGCCAACTCTAAAGCCACTCTCTGTTGGACTAGGGGACCACACGTTGAGCTAAAACATGGTCCCTACCTTCAAAAACCTCATTCTACGTTAAGTATTTTAAAAAATTCAGAACCGGGGTGCCTGGGTGGTTCAGTTGGTTAAGTCTCTGCCTTCAGCTCAGGTCATGAGCCCAGGGTCCTGGGATTGAGCCCCCTGTTTGGCTCCCTGCTCAGTGGGAAACCGACTTCTCCCTCTCCTGCTGCCCCTCGCCTTGGCTCGTGCTCTCACGTGCTGTCTCATGTTCCCACGTGCTCTCTCTCGAATGAATTAAAAAAAACTTAAAAAAAAAATTTCAGAACAATTATGACAGCAGATTTCGGATGCCCATTTAGTGTAGGTGGTATCGGACACATTTTGGTGGCGTAAAAAAAAACCACCGTCCAGGGACACCTGGGTGGCTCAGTGGGTTAAAACCTCTGCCTTCGGCTCGGGTCATGATCCCAGGCTCCAGGGATCAAGCCCTGCACAGGGCTCTCTGCTCAGCGGGAAGCCTGCTTCCCTCTCTCTCTCTGCCTGCCTCTCTGCCTACTTGTGATCTCTGTCTGACTTGTGATCTCTGTCTGTGAAAGTGATAAATAAAATCTTAAAAACAAAACAAAACAAACAAAAAAACCACCGTCCCAGAGGAGAAATGCGTTATTAAGAGAGAATACCTCACTGGATGTACCCTGAAAAGGTCAAATAGCACATGAAACGTGAACACGGTACATTTCGTCAAAGTAATAGGATATCTGGGGCACGTGGCTGCCTTAGGTGGAGGAGCATGTGACTCTCGACCGCAGGGTCATGGTTTCGAGCCCCACGCTGGGTACAGAGATTACTTAAAATGAGTAAATCAATAAAAACTTTTTTAAAGAAGGAGTAAGATACCTGACCCCCAAAAAAGACCACATAAGGGTGCCTGGGTGGCTCAGTCTGTTAAGCAACCATCTCTTGATTTCAGCTCAGGTCATGATCTTGGGGTCGTGGGATTGAGCCCCATGTTAGGGTCTGTTCTCAATGGGGAATGTGCTAGAGATTCTTTCCCTCTCTGTCCCTCCCCTTGCTTAAGTGCTTGCTCTCTCTTGCTCTCAAATAAATCTTTTTTATTTTTTAAAGATTTTACTTATTTATTTGAGGGCAAGAGAAAGAACACAAGCAGGGAGGAGGGGCAGAAAGAGAAGGAGAAGCAGACTTCCCACTGAACAAGGAGTCTGACATGGGGCTCGATCCCAGGACCCTGGGATCATGACCAGGGCCAAACACAACACTTAACCAAATGAGCTGCCCAAATGTCCCTAAATAAATCTTAAAAGAAAAAAAAAAAAGCTGCCGTGATCAAGACAGTACATATTGGTACGGGACTGAGGAAAGACATCATAGTCCCAGTTTTCCAAATTAGAAAATCTCCATCTCAAAGACAGATTTCACACTGAATCACCAAATCCTCCTGGCTCTGGGCTCCATAATCTCACAAACAGATCTCTAGTTCCACTGGCCCAGCTCAAGCTCCAACTACTGATCTCTTTGCCTCTAGTCTCTCATTTCCAATCTGTCCTCTATACTGCTACCAGGCGTCTCCAAAGTAGACCCAAACATGCCAGTCCTACAGGGACCCACTCTCTCCCTTTCCAACAGTCCCCATCAAAGTCCACAAAACACCAACTTCCCTGAGTTCAGGGAAGGCAACCACCACCCCTATTTATTCTCTTCACAGTGGGAGTGACTCATCTGATTGGGGAGATTAGGAGAAAGACTGCACGCACATTCGAAGAGCCCAGCACTTTAGCTGGTGCCTCTCTCTTCCACCTCTGCCTTCCTGGGGCACACACAAGGCAGGAGCAAGGGACTGGTTTCTAGAAGCCGTTCTAGGGGCCTCTCATTCTGTGTTCAGTGGGTCCATAAGGCTGGGGATATATTGTCCTACAAACCACAGCCCAGATCAAACACAGGGGCAGGCATCAGAAATCCCCAATGGTTACCTGCCCAAACCACATTTTCCAGTCTTATTTTATCAACAATACAGCTGACAGTTTACTGTTTTGGACTGCCGTGTCTATTTCTAAACTGGTACTGCACTTAAAGGGAAACAGATATGGTTCATTGCCACGCACAGAAGCCCACCTCCAGGACCAGCGTAAAACCTACCAGCTCCCTCTGCTTCCAGGTACAGATATACATCTCCACGCAGCACATACCAACGCAACCTGATGACAAGGGAAGCCGACCCTGTGTTTCAGTCATCCCAAACTACCCACTGTTCCCCACATACAGCATGCTCCCCACACACCACTGGCTCAGACTGGCATGCGCTTCCACCCAAGGACACCCGAACTCCCTCACCTTCAAACTCAGTGCAACTGTCTGCTCTTCTTTAAAACCTTATTCAACTTCTGTAGGCAAAATTACTCACATCTTCCTCTATGTTTCTCTCACTTTGAGTGTTTGTATACCTATCATCCCAACTAGACTGAGAGCCCTGCTTGGAAGGGCTCACATCTACTCGTCTTCCTAGCTCCTGGTGCTCTACCCATAAAAGACACTTAAGAACATGCCAGATGATGTAAAAAGAGAAAATAACAGGAAGGCCTGCATTAAGACATCAAGTATCCAATTTGTAGTTCTAGGTCAAGGGTGGCAAACTTTCCCTTATAAAGGCTGTGGTACATATTTTTGGCTTTCTGGGTCATCCAGTCTCTGCTATAAAGACTCAGCTCTGTCCCCACAGCACGAAAGCAACCAGAGACAACGCGTTTATAAATGGGTGTGGCTGTGTTCCCCAAAATTTCATTTATAAAAACAGGCATGGCAGGTTGGACTGAGGCCACGGGCACTGTTTGCCAACCCTGGATCTGTAAGATCGGGAACATCCGCAGGGAACCCACTGTTCCCTTGCCTTTTGTGATAAATTTGGAAGCCTCTACCCAAATTGGCTTAAATTGAGTATTTTTATCTTATGGGACAGGATGAACACATAAAGGTTCTCCAGAACAGAGAACTCCAGTGATACAAAGGGGAGTGCCTCTTTGCAAACTGGACTGTCTCTGGTGTCTCAAACAATGAGTGTTATCAGTTCCCCCTCATGCATATCTGAGCACATCAGTGCTCTGCTCTGGGTTCCTCAGTGGGTTCTCATTTCTTACAGTAGTGGTGACCGCAACGATGATGACCGTGCTTGTGACAGCAATAGCGGAGAGCAGTTCATGTTTACTTTGCATGTATGTGTCAGGCTCTAAGCACTTACAGGCACGAGTTAATGTAATTCTATGAAATGAAGTAGGATGACCATTCCCGTGGAGGCACACTCCCACAGCCTGAGGTTACCCAGCAAGGGGCAGAGCTACGAGGCTCAAACCCAGGCAGCCTGGCCCTTGAACCCTTGTGATAAACTGCTCTTCCAAAGCCCAGCTGCTGGGCATGACTGACTGAAGAGATGTTCACAATATGGCCCTTGACCTTTCCTTATCCAACCAGATGCGGAATTTTTCACAGCTCCTCCCAACAATACATGCGTTCATGTTTCCCTGTCTGAACACCATCTTCTCTCTGCCTGGAGTGCTCTCTCCTCATCAGCCTGGTGTACTTGCCATCAGCCTTAAGTCTTGGCTCAAACACAATCTCTCTCTCTCTCTGTGATACCTTCCCCAACTCCCTCAGTTTGACTTAGATGTCCTTTTTTTTCTGTTCCTGCTACATTTTTGTCTTGTAAGAGAAAAAACTGTACACTTCTGTTCATATCAGCATTATTCACAATAGCCAAAAGGCAGACGCCATCCAAGTGTCCCTCAACAGATGAATGCGTCAACAAAATGTCGTCTATATACAGCAGAACATCATTCAGCTTCTGAAAGACAGCAAATTCTGAGGTGTGTTACAAGGATGAACAGTAAGGCATTATGGTAAGGAAAGTGACCCAGGCACAAAAATACAGGGTAGGAGTCCACTTCTATGACGTCCCAAATTCACAGAGACAGAAAGGAAAGTGGTGGTTGCCAGGGGCTGCGGTGAGATGGGAACGAAGAACTGTTGTTTCATGGGTTTTAGTTTTGTAAGATGAAAAGAGTTCTGGAGATGGCTGCACAACGATGTAACTGAACTCCAACACTATGAAGTGTACACTTGAAAATATATCAGATCAGAAAAACCACCTTGGGTGGTTCGGTTGGTTTAGCATCGGCCTTTGGGTCAGGTCATGATCCCAGGGTCCTGGGATCGAGCCCTGCATCAGGCTCCCTGCTCAGCAGGGAGTCTGCTTCTTCTCTCCCTCTGCCATTCCCTCCCCCAACATTCTCTCTCTCAAATAAATAAATAAAATCTTTAAAAAAAAGATTCAGATTGTAAGTTTCATGTTGTGTGCATTTTAGCACAAATTATTTTTTAAAGAAGTGGGGCCAGGGGTGCCTATCTGGCTCTGTCATTGTCTGACTTTGGCCCAGGTGGAACCCAGGGTCCTAGGATCGAGCCCCACATCCAGCTCCCTGCTCAGTGGGAAGCCTGCTTCTCCCTCTTCAGCTCCCCCTGCTTGTGTTCCCTCTCTCACTATCTCTCTCTCTGTCAAATAAATAAATAAAATCTTTAAAAGTAAATACATAGTAAAACATGGGGTCAGGGAAGAAAAAAAAGTCTCTGATTATAGTAAAGAAAATAAAACCCCCTCAGAGAAAGTAAAAAAAAGCCTCCTGTAACCAACCACTGTGATGAGTCAATATATAACCTTCCAGTCATTTTATCATATATACCAATAATACATGCATACTATATACAAGTGTTTTTACTATTATGAATCAGATCTTTTCTTTCCTGACATTTTCTAACAGGTTATTGTTGCTATTACGTAACTACATAGGATTCTTAAAATACTTACCTGGAATGCAGTCATCTTTCTAAACTCTTGTTAATAATGCCAATGGCTTTTTTTTTTTTAATTATTTCTCTTGGATCTTACAGGAAGACCTATCTATCTATAAATAATGACAATTTTGTCTCCAGCTTTCCAACATTTTTTCATAATGTAATATTAAATGAAAAAGGCAAGATACAGAGAAGTAAACTCATTTAAATATAGTGTGCGTGTGTGTTTATTTTCTGTAGTTTATATGAGCCTGGAGAAAGATATACTGAAGGATATATACGAGACTATTCACACTGGTCTCCTGGGAAGAGATAATAAAGAGAGGGAGGGACATTTCAGATTTTTGTAAAACTTTCTTCCTTAGGGTGCCTGGGTGGCTCAGTTGGTTGAGCAGCTACCTTCCGCTCAGGTCCTTGAGCCCTGGGATCGAGTCCCGTGTCCAGTTCCTGGCTCCATGGGAAGTCTGCTTCTCTCTCCGAGCTCCCCTCTCATGCTCTCTCACTCATCTCTCTCTCTCTCAAATAAATAAATAAAATCTTAAAAAAAACACAACTTTCTTCCTTATACTATTGTGTCAAATTTTAATTTTTTTTTTAAAAAGACCATGCATTATGTACTCAAGAAAAAAAAAACTTCTTTTCATTGTTTGTAAGAAAAACCCCACATGGGGCCCCTGGGTGGCTCAGTTGGTTAAGCCTCTGCCTTCAACTCAGGTCATGATCCCAGAGTCCTGGGATCAAGCCCCGCATCGGGCTCTCTGCTCAGCGGGGAGCCTGTTTCCCCCTCTCTCTGCCTGTCTTTCTGCCTACTTGTGATCTCGGTCTGTCAAATAAATAAATAAAATGTTTAATAAAAAAAAAGAAAGCAAGAAAAGAAAAACCCCACGCATCCACTTTTCCCACGGAGGTTGTTGCACACTTTTATGACTGTGTAAGAGGGAGCCCATCTCTGCACACAAGAAGGGAAGCGCATCTTCAATGGTGCTTTGTTTCTTCCCATGTCTCACCTGGGCTGCAGTGGCCGCAGTCTGGAGCAGGCGGGACTCTTCCCACAGGCACCGGGCCACGATTCGGGCAATCTCCATTGGCTTCTCCAGATATCTGCTCTATAAGCGGGAGAGAAAGAATGAAAAGTAGCAGTAGACCAAGGAGCTGTGGACCCAGAATACTACACCTACTACATGAAACAATAAAATGAGGACCTCAGAGCCTGGTTGCCACCAGTGGGAGATGAAGGGGAGAACAGAAAAAAGACCGTCACAGTGAGCTGTCCTTCTGTGACAGAGGGCATACTGAGTCTTTGGACAATATGTTATCTTGGTGTCCTATGGAGGTGACAGACCTTGTCCAAGAGTATCTGATTACAGTCAAACATTTAACATTTAAAAATAAATCATCTGGGGTGTCTGGGTGGCTCAGTCAGTGGGGCGTCTGACTCTTGATTTCGGCTCAGGTCATGATCTCAGGGTCATGATACCAGTGCGGAGTGGGGCTCGCCCTGGGTGTGGAGCCTGCTTAAGATTCTTTCTCCCTCCTTCTGCTCCTTCCACCCCTTCCTCTCTTCAAAAAAAAAAAAGTCATTTTCCTATGAAACTACTAGTTCTGATCATGTCATTAAGATATACTAATATAAGATGATTACTGTAACAATTATGTCTCCAGAGGACAAAAAAAGTGTATCTCAGATAATGATGCCCAAGGGTGGGTATACAGAGGCTTGAGGAAGGGCTAGTAATTTCTCCTTTGATTTAAAGTACAAGATAGGATCTCATTACCTAGGCAAATGAGGAAAGAAATACTTCCTGGACAGAAAGCTAACAGCCTACTCTGCAGGGTCAGTTTCGCATCCCACCTGAAGGAACTGCTTGATTCTCCGCAGATTGTGCTGATAGAGAACATTTGACTCCTGCAGGAAACGGCTGTATTGCTGGTCAATCTCACCCAGGAGATTATGAAACACCAAAGTTGCATGTGATTCCTTGCTGGCCGCATATGCCCTAAGAAAAGGAAGAAGGATACAGTACGATTCTGAAACCGACACACACCCGCATACACACACACACACCCCATAAGCATGCATGCGCGCCATGCGGACAAATCACCATCAAGGTGGGAAAAAAACAAGACAGACTTGATACTTTAACCCACTCCTCACTTTAGATTCACCTTGCTCAGCAGCAAGAAATATCATGAATTCAATGATTATTAACAATTATTCCAGACACTATTAGCCATTGCCATAGTCTACACTTATAAAATACTCAAGTGGGGGCGCCTGGGTGGCTTAGTTGGCTGAACAGCTGCCTTCGGCTCAGGTCATGATCCTGGAGTCCTGGAATTGAGCCCTGAAACGGGCTCCTTGCTCAGTGGGGAGCCTGCTTCTCTCTCTCCCTCTGCCTGCTGCTCTGCCTACTTGTGCTCTCTGACAAATAAATAAATTTTTTAAAAATCTTAAAAAAAAAGTGCGCCTGGGTGGCTCAGTGGGTTAGGCCTCTGCCTTTGGCTCAGGTCATGATCTCAGGGTCCTGGGATCGAGGCCCGCATCGGGCTCTCTGCTCGGCGGGGAGCCTGCTTTCTCCCCTCTCTCTCTATGCCTGCCTCTCTGCATACTTGTGATCTCTCTCTCTCTGTTTCAAATAAATAAATAAAATCTTTAAAAAAAAATCTTAAAAAAAAAATACTCAAGTGAAGTGGACATATACGCTGTTTGGCTTTTTAAAATTCTCACTCAGTCAGCTCTGCAGTCAGATTATTAGTAACAAATAAGCAAACCCAGATCAGGATGGCCCAACTCTATCATCTCTGACTCACCTCCCTGGACCCTCTTCAAATTCTAGAAAAACTAGGTCATAGTCCTGAATTAAATGAAAATTAATAGGTAGATCTGAACACATTAACGTGAAGGAAAAAACGGTGCTTGCATGGCTCAGTCGGTTAAGCATTCAACTCTTGGTCAGCTGGGGTCATGATCCCAGCGTCATGAAGCCTGCTTAAGATTCTCTCTGTCAGGACGCCTGGGTGGCTCAGTTGGGTAAGCCGATGCCAAAGCCTTCGGCTCAGGTCATGATCCTGGGGTCCTGGGATCGAGTCCCACATCGGGCTCCTTGCTCGGCAGGGAGCCTCCTTTTCTCTCCGCCTCTGCCTGTTTGTGGGCTCTCTCTCTGACAAATAAATAAATAAAATCTTAAAAAAAAAAAAGATTCCCTCTGTCCCTCTCCCTCTGCCCTTTCCCCCACTCTCTCTCTAAAAAAGAAGGGGGAAAAAAAAATGAAGAAACAGTCCTTGGAATTCTGGGCCATCATCTCTATGAATGAGTCTGTTTCTCTTAACTCTGTGTCTCCTTCCTTTAATTAAAGAGGAATCAGAATTACATACCCAAATCTCTACCCATGGGAGAACTCTCCTTGAGATAAAATATATTTGTAGCACATCCCTGGAGTGTCAGAACACACAGAGGCTCTCGCCAAGGAGACGAGATCCAAATCAGCCTTCGAAACATCTACCACCAAGCAGGCTGCTGTCCCAGGTGCCAAGAGACAGTTGCCTGCATACACTTCTAACATAGAACACGTTTTGCAAGACTGAGAGTCTGTCTTTATTTCCTGATTTCTTTCACCCCATCACCTATACCCTTAAGTTTTTTGATGAAATAGCACAGAGTTAAGCTAGAACAGGTTAGGTCTCTTGACTCAAACCCAAACCCGACACTCTGGGGAGCTTCTCAGGAAGGACTTACCAATCCTGACTCTCGATCCAAGCAGCCAGAAACTGCCGCAGCTCCATCGGGAAGCTGTCGCTGTACAGCTGATGAAGCTGCTCCAGGTACCGCGTGTCGAGCTGCTGTAGCTGATTCCATTGGGCCATCCTGTGGCAATCAGGGGTCCCAACTGTAAACCAAAGTGTCCACAGGGTCACTGCAAGCCTTAGGAGGAGCAAACCACCTAGGAACACCCCATCTACCCAACACAGGCATCGGGTCTGTGATTAGGGATAAAAGATGCTTTGCACAGGATCCTCTGTGTTTCTCCCAGTTTACAGTAATACAGACACATCCCCAGTCTCTGCCTCTGGAAGCACATCACAGCTTCTCCTGCCCTGGGATGGTGATGTGGGCGTGGCATCAGCCAAGTTCCAGAATCTGTTATCTCCCAGATGTATGTGAAGTTGAAAAATAACTTTCAGATTTCCACTTCCTCGTCTATAAAACAGAGATATCATTCCCACCTCTCATGGTTGTCGAGATATTTCTGAAGAAGTTAGTAAAATACGTAGCATGTCAGCTCCTTTCTTTCCACCCTACCCCTCTTCTAAGGGGGTGCACTGGAGGGTATAGACAACAAGCCTAAAGTCAGACCGAAATGTGGGGGAATGTGGCTGTTTAGGGAAAACAAAGCTAATTCTAAGAATACAGGCTTAAAAGTATAAGCAAGGACCTGCCGGAGATTCTCCAAGTCAATGAAAAGTAATTTTGTTTTGAAAAGAGTTCTCAGTTAACACAGGCAGCAACCTCTTCGACCTTAGCTGCAGCAACTTCTTCTAGGAACATCGCCAAAGGCAAGGGAAGCAAGGGCAAAAATGAACTACTGGGACTTCATCAAGATCAAAAGCTTTTGCACAGCAAAGGAAACAGTTAACAAAATCAAAAGACAACTGACAGAATGGGAGAAGGTATTTGCAAATGACATATCAGATAAAGGGCTAGTATCCAAAATCTATAAAGAGCTTAGCAAACTCAACACCCAAACAACAAATAATCCAATCAAGAAATGGGCAGAGGACATGAACAGACATTTCTTCAAAGAAGACATCGAGATGGCCAACAGACACATGAAAAAGTGCTCCACATCACTCGGCATCAGGGAAATACAAATCAAAACCACAATGAGATACCACCTCACACCAGTCAGAATGGCTAAAATTAACAACTCAGGAAATGACAGATGCTGGCAAGGATGCGGAGAAAGGGGAACCCTCCTATACTGTTGGTGGGAATGCAAGCTGGTGCAACCACTCTGGAAAACAGCATGGAGCTTCCTCAAAAAGCTGAAAATAGAGCTATCCTACAACCCAGCAATTGTACTACTGGGTATTTACCCTAAAGATATAAACATAGTGATCCGAAGGGGCATGTGCACCCTAATGTTTACAGCAGCAAGGTCTACAATAGCCAAACTATGGAAAGAACCTAGATGTCCATCAACAGATGAATGGATAAAGAAGATGTGGTATATGTATATGTATATGTGTACACACACACACACACACACACACACACACACACACACACACACACAGGAATACTATGCAGCCATCAAAAAAATGAAATCTTGCCATTTGCAACAACGTGGATGGAACTAGAGGGTATTATGCTTAGTGAAATAAGTCAATCAGAGAAAGACAATGATCATATGATCTCCCTGATACGAGGAAGTGGAGATGCAACGTGGGGGGTTTGGGGGGTGGGAAAAGAATAAATGAAACAAGATGGGATTGGGAGGGAGACAAACCATAAGAGACCTTTTTTTTTTTTTTTTAAAGAATTTATTTATTTGACAGAGAGTGAGAAAAGGAGAGAGAGCACAAGTGGGGGGAGCAGCAGAGGGAGAGGGGGAAGCGGGCTCCCCGCTGAGCAGGGAGTCCAATGCTGGACTCGATCCCAGGATCCTGAGATCATGACCTGAGCCGAAGGCAGAGGCTTAACCCACTGAGCCACCCAGGCGCCCCAAGAGACTCTTAATTTCACAAAACAAACTGAGGGTTGCCGGGGGGGAGGAGGGTAGGGAGAGGGTGGTGGGGTTATGGACATTGGGGAGGGTATGTGCTATGGTGAGTGCTGTGAAGTGTGTAAACCTGGCGATTCACAGACCTGTACCGCTGGCGCTAATACTACATTATATGTTTATTAAAAAATTAAAAAATTATTTAAAAAAAAGTTCTCAGTTGAGGGGCGCCTGGGTGGCTCAGTCGGTTAAGCGTATGCCTTCAGCTCTGGTCATGATCCCAGGGTCCTGGGATGGAGCCCGGCATCACGCTCCCTGCTCAGCAGGAAACCTGCTTCTCCCTCTGCCCCTCCCCCTGCTCATGAGGACCCTCTCTCTCAAATAAATAAATAAATAAATAAATAATTTTTTTAAAAGAAGAAAAAGTTCAATAAAGTAAAGCAATGAGAATGTCCGAATGAGGTAATTGCCCCCATCAGGCCAGTATGTTTCCATAAATAAACTGAACCTTCTGACGACACCAGAGGTGGTGCTTGGCACTGATTTAATTTTTTTTAAACAATGTCTTCCTTCCTCTTAGGCACGTCCCAAACATTTTCAGTTACCACACCTTTGCTGTTGCCCCTGTCCTTACTACCCCCAAGACCAATCTGCCACAGGACAGATGCTGCTTGGGCCATGGTACACGTATACTGAGCACTGGCTGGAACGAAAGCGGTAGCTGAGGCATTATAACCACGGTGGGTATCACCCTCGATAAGAAATGAAAGGCCAAGACGTCGGGGTGGCTCAGTGGGTTGGGCGTCTGCCTTCAGCTTGGGTCATGATCCCAGGGTCCTGGGATCAAAGCCCCACATCAGGTTCTCTGCTCAGAGGGGAGCCTGCTTCCCCCTCTCTCTCTGCCTGCCTCTCTGCCTGCTTGTAATCTCTGTCAAATAAATAAATAAAATCTTTAAAAAAAATAAAGTACACTCTCTACCTGCAGTGTGGGGACTGAATTCACAACCCCAAGATCAAGAATCACATGTTCCACCAACTGAGCCAGCCAGGTGCCCCTAGACACCTACTTTTTATAATAAAGTCCAATGTTATAAGTTAATTTAAAAAACAGACTAATTACTTAATTGCTTAACTTGGATACAAATGTATAGCCATCACAATCTACTCCCTAAAGTTCCATGTTATAACGATAAAGCAACACCCCACTATACCTGCTCAACTGGACATGAACACTGGGTCACACACAAATATACACATTTTCAGCAAACCATTAAAAAAGTACAAGCTGGGGGCGCCTGGGTGGCTCAGTGGGTTAAAGCCTCTGCCTTCGGCTCAGGTCATGATCCCAGGGTCCTGGGATCAAGCCCCACATTGGGCTCTCTGCTCAGCAGGGAGCCTGCTTCCTCCTCTCTCTCTGCCTGCCTCTCTGCCTACTTGTGATCTCTGTCTGTCAAATAAATAAATAAAAAATCTTAAAAAAAAAGTACAAGTTGTTGAAAATTGTCTAGTTCATTTCTAGGTCCGTAACTCAGAGGTGTTTTTTGTTGTTATAGTTTTGGCTTGGGGTTGGGTGGGACAACACAAAGGGGATAGTAATACAAGTAGTACAGGTAGTACAAGTAGTACACATACAAGTAGTACAATAATTTTGTCATTTATTAGACCACAAACCAGTTACTAGGTTGTTTGTTTGTTTTTTTTTCCATAAAAGTAAAGCACCAGGGGCACCTGGGTGGCTCAGTGGTTTAAGACTCTGCCTTTGGCTCAGGTCATGATCCCAGGGTCCTAGGATCGAGCCCCACATCAGGCTCTCTGCTCAGCAGGAAGCCTGCTTCCCCCTCTCTCTCTGCCGGCCTCTCTGCCTACTTTTGATCTCTCTCTGTCAAATAAATAAATAAAATCTTTAAAAAAAAAGAGTTTAAAAAAAAGTAAGGCACCAAAAATGACTGGCATTATGCTTCACTTCTTAGTCTAATCACTGTAGGTTAACACTGTAATAGCTATATTTTTTTAAAAAATTCACTGCAAGTTAAAGCCAAAAGCAGACAGTATTCTCAAGGAGATGAGCAAAGAGCCTTACAAGTGATCATTTTCTCACAGGCTGCTTAGCTACAAACCATATTTAACCAACAACAGCCACAAGGCAATTAGCCCAATGTTCTTCATAAGAACGGTATATCCTTAGGAGATCACCAGCCAAACTGTCTAGGAAAACCATTGCCAACTAGCTTGTGGCCACTGTTTTACCGGAAAAGGTTTTACAAGAGCCTACCTTATTTCACAATCTCAATTCTGTTCTTTCAAATTACAAGTTAAAGAACTCCACTTAAGTTCTCACTGAAGTATTTATCTACGAAATAATGCAAAGCCTGTGATTTAATAACCATTTTCACAGACCCGCAGGACACAGAAAGTGATCTGCACAATCTGAATGCCAAGTGCCATTCTGGGTGCAGAGAGAAATGAGTTCATTCCACAGAGAGACTGGCTTAGAGCATGACGCCGGGCTTAATTCTCTCCAGAGGTGAGTGCTAAGTTTACGTTAGCAGACAGCAGATGGGAGCATATAAAGGCAATATTAAATCTGATTCTGTTTTCTACAACTTCAGAGAAAAGAAAAATAAAAATGAAACAGCAAGTCACCAAAGACTTTCCGGACTTTTCAAAACAGGAATTTCTCAACCCCTTGGGGATAACTTACCAACAAGTCATAACTCAAACAGCTATTGTCTGATGAGGAACTTATTACTGTAAGGATCAGTAAAGTTTGTCCAAAGTCGCAGTTTTCATTTATATATTACATTCTAAGGAAACCAAGAGACGTGTCAAGAAACACAAATCCAGACCCCTTACAAAGGGATTCATTACATCATTTCATAAAACTTCGTTTTAAATTAAGGTTTGTAAATCACATCCACACACTAATGGATTTGTGGTAGAGTGAGGGGCCAAAGTGAGGAGAGAGACGAAACCCCAGCACATACAATCCAGAACAGAAAGTGATCTAAAGATAATTTCTGTTCCACCTTGTCACAAGATTCTTTTGGGTGTTAGCCATACTTTGTATTAGAAATACCTATATTATAAATAGAGCAAAGCCATATCTTATCCATTGCCTCTACTAAGCCCCTTTTGCTTCAGGAAAGGCCCAGTGACTAAGGCAAACA